AGTGCCGGATGTCGACTTCTTCCTCCCTCGTGAGGATGAAGAAGTCCGTGCAGCGGAGCGTCTAGATGCACGCGTCGGTGGGGGTCCTGGGGGAGGTGGGGGCTCATCGTAGTCGTCGTCGTCGTCACCATCGGAACCGCTCCTGCTATCCTCCTCTCCCCCCTCCTCGCCCTCGTAGTCCTCGTCCACATCCCGCACAGCCGCATCCATATCAGGATCATCCTCCTCGATGGTGACTGGGCCTCCTCCCTTCCTCAACACAACAACCCTCGTACTAACCTCTGCAATGGTCTACTCACGGCGGGAACCATGAGGCATCCCCAACCCCTCCGCCCCCGAACTCTCTCCAAATGCTGCGCCTCCCTCTGCAAGCACGGGGCGTGGACGAGGAGGCACTCCACGCTTGCGTGAAGTCTGCTCCTGCACGACACGCGTCGCTGCTCTCAGAGCGTACTCTAAGGTCTTGATCGACACTCCTCTGCCACAACCTCGCTGAGGCTCACAACCTGATGTCGGTACCTCCCTCGCCGCGGTCGTCCTAGCGCCTTCTCCTCCCAAGCCCGACTGAAGGAGTGTAGTGTGCTCCGTGACACGACGGGTGGAATCCAAATCTATATTTGTCCTCCCGAATATCGTCGTGTCCTACACGTCCTGCTGAACTGCTGTCGTGTCACGAATCCTAGATCTTCCAGGCGTGTGTAGGGATCGAGAGCCTCTGCCTGTGGGCGACGATGATGGATCACCTGCAGGTGCTCTGAGAGGAGGGGGTGGCATGTCTCCTGTGCGTGGCGCTGTCTCCATCACGCCACCCGAAACCCCTGGAACATGTCCCGCAGTATGTCCTCCGGTGGAGGTAGACCCAGACCACACGGGGGACGCAGGACCCCATGGAACCGAAGGGATCGTCTGCCATGGTGGGTGCTCGAGCCTCCGGTCGAAGATCCGCCGGTCCAAGCGAGTGACATCGCGCACAGCCTCTCTCGCCAACTCCTCTGCATCCAAAGGACGACGGACCTCCTGCGGAGCAAAGTGGCTAGGAAGACGTGGGGGCACAACCACCGGCTCGGACCCCAAATCCGTGATAACGGGCGATGGCACACCATGCACTGCCATCTGAACCGCCTTTGGCTATCGGGCCTGAGCCAAGTGCAGGCTCGAGAACGGAACGACCGAACCCGTCGCTGTCTCCTGCCCCTCGACTCGTCGCTTTCCCGCCTGCACAACCTCATCCACCGCCTGAGGCCGTCCCTCCACAGCAACGTCCGTTGCCTCTGCTCCACCCGGCATAGCCTCGGGTACCGGCTCTGCTGCCACTCCCTCCGCGACGTCCTCCCCCGCCACCACCCCACCCTGCACACAATCCCCCCCTATCTCTCGACGCCTGGCCTCCTATACGGCCCGTGCGAACGCCTGAGCATGAGGGTCAGTCGATGCCAAAGTCTAGCCCTCTCTCGCTCCATGATGTCGTGTGCTGCATCTGGAGACTCAGTCGCCGTCCTCTCTCTCGCGGTCTGCGTCGAAGTCCTGCCTGGCGTCTCGTCCCTCGATGGAGCCCGGTCCGTCGATGTCGCCCCGACGCAACTGGGTGGAAGGCCCACCGACAAATCTAAGTCTAAGTGGGTCCCCATCTCCGAATCTGAAATCCCAAACCCCCATTCCACACCCGGGGTCATACTCGCTATGGCCGGATCGAGCTCCTCCGTGAGGAACTGCTGCATGAGGCGCTCGTCATCGCCCCCACGCTGCACCTCGGCCTGTGCGGCTATCTCCTCCTCCACTGCAGCTGCCRACGGTGCCTCCTCCTCCTCCACTGCTGCTGCCACCTCAACCTCCACTGCTGCTGCTCCTCCACCTGCTCCTCCTGCTGCTGCCACCTGCCCCTCCACTGCTGCACCTCCTCCTGTCGCTGGTGGATCCTCCTCCAGCACTGATGCTGCCATCTCCTCCAGCACTGATGCTGCTGCTGCTGCTGCTATCTCCTCCACTGCGGCTGCGATCGTCGCATCCGACACCGCCGCTGGTGCCGCTGAACTCTCCACTGCTGCTGCCGAAGGTGCCCCCTCCTCCTACAATAYCCCCGGGGAAGGTGATCGTAACCTACGCTGGCAGACTGCCCCGCCTCTTTGGAGAAGGCCGCGCTGAGGCAAAGAAGACCCCAACTCCTCCCTGTCCGGCTGAAGTGGCGAGACGGGCGATGGTGGTGCAGGACTCGGAGCAGGAGGTGGCGGCATGGACGAATCCCGCCTCGTCGGAGTGGGGGTCGTCGCTTGCGCCTCTGGGCCGCCAGTGGAAGCGACCTCACCGAATGGGCCCCATAAGTCCTCGTCTCCCCCCAGCATCTCCCTATCCGCCCGATCCGCCGCCCGTCGTGCAGTGTGTGCCCTTGTCTCCTCGAAGTCGGGATTGTCGTGCGTCTCGTCGATCTCCCGAGGAATGCAGAGCGCAGGGTCATCTTCCGCCTGGGGTATCGACTCCTCGTCTGAGTCGTCCTCCCTGGGGTAGGGACGAAAAATGCAATCACGTCTATCGAAAACGGCATCAGCCGAGGGTGGTGCGGACGCCCCGATGGGATCCCGGGTAATAAGTGCAACTTGACGGGCGATCTCCTCCTCCGTCATCCTCCTGCAAGTCCCCGAGCGCACAAGCTCCAACTCGAGTCCTGCCTAGCAATCCAGCATGCCCTCGTCCCGCTGCCATGGCAGCACATAACCGCATCCAGCCCGCTAATACTCAGTCAACCACACATTTGCGGTGATCTCAACGAGTTGCACGACTTTCTCAAAGGCCAACTGGTTGCACTTCTTCGTATGAATGCCCTCGTGGACTGCCCAGTTCCTCTTCGCTGGAGAGGCGCAAGACCACATGTGCATCACCCGAAGAGCGCAACGCTGCAACTCTGGCGCGCCCGACCCGAACTGAGACCACCAAGACGCGCACTCAATCGTCTCGCTGTCGCCGCTGCACGCGCGCCCACGAGCACGCCCCTCCGACCCTCCCCAATCCCCGAACCTGCCCTGCTGAATGTGGAAGTCCTCAAACTGCCGACATGCAAGGATGTACTCCGCACCCTCCAACTCGAATCCCGTCTGCGTCAGAATATACCTCTTGGCTTGCCCCACAAGCCAAGCATCGTACCGCTCCACCTGCCCCGAAAAGTGGCGAATGTGTCGCCTGCGGGGGTTCAGTAAGAACCCTGCGCAGTGAGCCGGCTCAAGCATGTGCTGTGTGCGAGCGTGCACACGTCTGATGATCCGCTCGGCGAACGACTTCCCCAAAGGGGCGCATGCGACCGTGACACGACGGACAAGATCCTGCGTCCACTCGATCATGAGGGACATGTACTGTCCTCCACGATCCATCCGCCTCAGCAACTCCATGACGGGCTGCATGATATGGACGATGGTGGCCACCCTCTGCCACCATGGATCCCATCTGATCTGTCGGCGCACCCAACGCGCCATGACGCACACATCGGCGGACCACGGGATGGAAGCAAAAGCCCGCGCGTCGTCCCCTCGCATCATGTCCTGCAGAGTGTCCTGCAGGGCCAACAGCCTCTCCAGCATGGAGTACACAGACGCGAACCGCGTCTCGCAAGAAAGAATAAGCCCCTTGTCGGGGCTGCGCGTCCTAAAAAAATGAAGGGCGGTCTGGTGGGTTTTGAAAAACACCACCAGCACACGAGCGCGTGTGATCGCGTCCACAAACGCGTCGCAACTCGTCCCCATGTCTGAAAACAATTTGTTGCAGACATGGACGGAGCACGGGAGCCAAGTGATCCTCCTCAGTGCAGGAGGCATGGACGGCGAGGTCAATGCCCTCGCAGCCTCGACATAGGCAGAAGCGGAGTCAGTGCATATCGCATTTATCCGCTGCGGCCCGCCGAAGCTGAACTCGTGGAAGATGGTAACCCATCTCTGAAGGACGTGCGGTGCATCGTCCGCCTCGCCCTCTCGATTGATCGTCGTGTACACGACGACCCCTCGAGAGCCAGCAGCAAGGAAATTCACGATCGGTCTCCCGTCTCGTGATTTTCTCCCATCGGAGAGGAGGGTGGCACCAGTCACCCAGAATGGCTGCCTCACCTCCTCCAACTCCTCCGCCAACTCCGCACGGTGGGTTTCCACCGCTCGCATACTCGCAATCTCGCAGTGGTTGGGGAGCACTGCACGCGGGGAACTGCCAGGCTGCTCAAGAAGCACCTGCGGATATGCCTTCCACGCCTGGTTGCGAAAGGCATTGAAGGAGACCCCGCTGGAATACAACCAGCGAAGGAATGCCTTCTTGTGGCGAGCAACCCACTCGCCACCGTAGACATCAGTCACCTTCTGCTGGCGAAGCCTCTTCCCTGCTGGGGTGGCACACGGATCAATCCCTCCTTCCTTCCTCTTGGAAGACCCCTCCGTTGCAGCTCCCTTGCCTGCTCGCCTCCGCCAGTCCTCCAACCTCTCGCCAGTGCCTGGATAAACCTCAGGCACGTCCTCCTGTTCCGGGACTCCCTCCTCACCCGGACCACGCGCCTCGCAATCCACGTGGATCACGCCCTCCTCCGTCTCACCGCCTCCACCACCCAAAGTGAGGTCTGTCGCACCATGCCCACCATCTCCCTCGACCCCTCCCTCCGTCGGACGCCGCCCCGCCTCTCCTCCCCTTGCACCACCCGTGCCGGGCACATCGAGTCCGCGCTCCGCCGCATACCGCGCAACCCTCTCCATCTGATCGGCCTCGAACTTCTGTTGAGTCCGTCGAGCAATCTCGTACAACGCCTCGTCGCTGATGTCCTTGCAGTAGTTTGTCTGCGTGAAGTGCCTCGTGGCTTGAAACTGGGTCCCTTGGAAAACTTTGTTGCAAAACGTGCAACGGAGCATCATGACCCCCTTATTGTCGACCTTCTGGGCGACAACCAGGTACCGATAGACAGGGGAGCGGGCCCTGAATGTGTCCTGCACATGGTCCGCGGCAGCCTCATGCTGACGATACTGTGCCCTCCCCATGTCGGTCACCCTGGTGAGACAACCCTCGGTGACTCCCCCCGACCGCACCACTGCAACCTAACACCCCGTTAACGGCTGCCCGCTGCAGGGTCCCCCTCCCCCTTCAATCCAACCTTCCTCACAATCCAACCCTCCTTGACCACCGCCCGCCTAAGGGTCCCCGTTTACCACCCCCCACGGACTCCCCCGCTCGCCCGAACCCATGCGCAGTCGACCGAACCGCCACAAACGCACCGCGGGCCCGCACGTTAAATCCCGTTTAACGTCGTTCAAACGCGTTAAAACGTGTTAAATCCCGTTTAACGGCGTTGAATTAAAAATTCAACGGCGTCATTCGGGAACGCGCGTGGCGGTTCGCAGCCATCGCCGCACACTTCGCTGCTCCGCCTTCGTCCCGTCGACGCCGCCGCTCCGCTGCGCTCCACGCTCCGCTGCAACAGTTGTCTCTCTCTCTCTCTCTCTCTCTCTCTCTCTCTCTCCCTCTCTCTCTCTCTCTCTCTCTCTCTCTCTCTCTCT